CATTCAGTATGAATTTTAAATTTCTTCTAGTTTGTTCTGTATAAACTGTTTTACATTCACGTAATATTTTATATATATATATGCCAAATTTTTCCATTAAATTAATTTTATATTTAGTTTTATTAAGAATTTCGCTGACTTTGTTTATCGGTTTGTATATCGAAAAAATATTTATTTGTTTGTTTAAATTTTTTCATTATTTGACAAGATAAACCAAATATTTGACAAAACTCTGTAGCTCTGCTATAAAAATTTATTGTGAGAATTTTGTTATTGATAAGTTGCAGACCATATAAGTAAGAAGAAATATTTGCATATATGATCCTTGATTGATCCATTCTTGATCCTTAAGTAGATAACTATGTAAACTGTTTATATGAAAAGCATGTAAGTAAAATATTGTTTTTAGGCTTTGGGGCATTTATGATTTGTCTTGTGTGTTGTGCATTATAATATAATTGATCAAAGAATATATGGCACATGATTTGCTAATAAGACCATTATTCTTTACCCATTGGTAAGCACCTATGGACTTTCCCTCCATACGTATGTGCTTATACTTTAGTTTTAGCTTTAGGCAAAAATGAAGTGCAAAGCAGTAATATTTCATTACAATTATACTCTAATAGATATGTACATGTAGCTTGGCATTTTGGTTAAAGGACAAGTAATTCAGTACTCATATATACATTTTCTCTGATCATATAACCTGTTTTGTTGACATTTCCCTTAGAAATTGTACAATACTAGGCCTAGTTAAGCCATAACATATAGCTCCAAAACTAGTTTTTAGCTATTTATGAACATGATTCACAGAAAAATTGCTCATCAATAACTGTTAGTGTGAGGATAAAAATTTAGCAAATATTACTGCAGATTAGTTTTTAAGTTAATTACATTTTGTTGAACAATTAAACTTCATTGAACAGCAACGATTTTCATTTTTGAAATCATAAAACTTTTGGTGCTCCAAATTCAGTTCCTAAAAATGAAAACTGTTGTCCTGCAAAGCTTTAGCTACTCTGACAATAAGATTTATTTTACGTAGTGCAGTACTTTCAATTTCTAAATCAAAACCAATGATTTGAGTTTCTAAAAACATTTTAACTGTTTTACTGTATTCATTTTATATTGCTAAAAGATAAGAATTGTGACATATTCGGGTTCACTGATTTCCCTGCCAATAATTGGAGAGGAGCCAGAAAATTGTTTACAGAACAAAATCTGATTTCTACTAACTTCGACTGAGTCTACAATTAAGTGACTGGACAGATGTATTACAACACAGTAAAAACAATATTTGTTCAAGTACTCAAGAAGAACAATAAAAAAAATAAAATAAGAACAAGTATATTTTGGTGCTTTCACTGGATTGTGTTCCAAGATTGAACCCGTATTTACAGTAATAAGAGTAAAGTTTCTCTTAATCATCTTCTGCTAAAATTTTGTCCCAGACTGTGAAAACAGACATTATACAGAAGAAAAAAATCAATTTTTCTCAGGACAAGGGTGCTACTCACACGACTGACAGCCACTCTCACTACAAAATAAACGATGTTGTATACTTGGGGTATCACCTGACTTTCTAGTAGAAAAGATCACTTTCGATTTATATACAGTGAGTTTACTCTACGTTACAGTAACCTTTTCCACGAAGAGTACGTGTGATACCTATGGTGTGTTTAAATGAAAACCGAGGTTAATTATGCGATAAATCATGACTTTCGTCATTCTTTCCACAAGTAAAACACAGGTCATACAAGAACTGACTTCAAGTTAAACACAAAATAAGGATTTTTCCTTATAGTTTTATTACATGCTTTCCCTAGTGTACTAAGCGATAAGTGTTCATCGATAGGATGCATGATTTTGTTTATCTCATCACTTAACATGTTTATTTATTAATAGGAATACTATTTAACTTGATTCTACCTCATATATTTTATTTAAAACAATTTATCCCAAAAAATAAGGAGTGACTACATGAGTCGACTCATGTTTAATGTATTATATTAACTAAAACTGAGGTGCTGGTAAAAATATTTTCGTCTAATATCTTTCCTATAGAATTATGTACGGAGGAAAACGTTTTTTTTTTTGCTGTTGTATTTGTTGTGAATAATACCAATAAAGGTAAACACGTGACTGTATTTATACAGTTACTGTACTTCTGAATCCAACTCGTCCAATTTTACATATAACCATAGCCCTTTGTGTATCTTTGTGCTTAACTTCAAAAAACAAACAAAATAAATGAAGAGATTAAAAGCAATTACTTAGCTTAAAATTGTGCTTTACACAGTTTAAAACTGTACATGTCATATATAATTTATTAAACAGTTATGTAATGGGTTTTCATGTAAATTTTCACACGATATTAATGTCCCAGACATAGATAATGTTCGTGCAGCTAGAAGACATAGCATAAATCTATCTATTTATCTATTTTTTGGAAATGTCGCCATTGTCTTTAGGTTGCTGAAGATACGAACGTGCTGCTCCATACGTTAAGTTTTACTAAATTCAATCACATTATTAGTCGCCTCATAAACGATTGTTTGTTTTGTTGAATTTCGCGCAAAGCTAATCAAAGGCTATTCGTGATAGCTGTCCCCAATTTTGAAGGAACAGACTAGACAGCTCTTGGACTATTCTTTACCAACACTGATAAATTTCGACTCATAAATGAATTTCCTGACGCAGAAAGGTCTATTCTTGAAAAAAAACGGATTTTTACTCTGTTTCTAGATCGCACGCCTTTTTCAAAAGTCATACACAACTCAGGATATGAAATATAATTTAAGTATTATTAGTGAACAACTACAATGTGTAAAGTACCTGAAGAAAACGACAGCTCAGAAGTTAGAATATTTTACTATACACTTTTTGGAAGAAAAAAAATCTGCCGCGGGAGAAACCTGAGATTTTAATAAGAAATTTAAATAATGCAGAAATGTAAGAAACATTATAGCAATAATAGATAAATAGGTTACGAGAAGTTCTGAAATTACGCTTTTGTGTGTTTGTTTCAAAAGGTATGGTGTCGTCATGTGCAATCACACTTCTTCCTAAACTGCACCCATCTAAGCACCATTTTCTGTGAAAATTACCGACAAACATTCTGAGGGAAGAGCTGTTCCTGGACATGCCACCCATTTCCTTTTCTCTGAAAAAGTAGCATTCTCTTTTATAGATTTCTGTCTATGCCCCTGTCACTACTCATATTGTGTAACTGGTCCGGGGCTCGAATCTCTGTGGTGAACAGAGCGCAGGTAACCTATTGTGTATCTTTGCACTAAAATAAACTTTCAATCCTGTTTGTCTGATGTTTCACAATCTATTTATATTTCGTTGTTTCTGAAATATTTTCTGGCTGTTGCTCCTTTCTTGTTTATTTATTTTAGCGGGCCCGGTATGGCCAGGTGGTTAGGGCACTTGATTCGCAATCTGAGGGTCGCGGGTTCGAATCTCTGTCCCACCAAACATGCTCGCCCTTTTAGCCGTGGTGGTATTATAACGTGACGGTCAATCCCACTACTCGTTGGTAAAGGAGTTGCCCAAGAGTTGGCGGTGGGTGATGACGATTAACTGCCGTCCCTTTAGTCTTTCCTACTAAATTAGGGACGGCTAGTGCAGATAGCCCTCGTGCAGCTTTGCGCGAATTTCAAACCAACCAACCAATTCTTTTAGTGCAAAGCTATACAATAGGATATCTGAGATGTGTCCGTCGTGGGGATCGAGCCCCACATTTAAGCGTTATAAGCAGCAAAGCTTACCACTGAGCTTCCGGGGAACGTAAATTCTTAGACTTAATTAATGAAAGCTAAAACAAGCTACCTATCTATCTGTTACTTTCGTTTCTTTTAATAATTTATTAAAGAACAACAAAATAAAAGATGCTATTGCGTTTTCCCAAATATTATCTATTTCAGAACTGTGTAGTGCTTTCAGTTTTCTATCATTTTTTTACAGAAAATTTAGTCCATTGAAAATTACTCATATTTTATTTCTTGGTCCTGATTACTCCGAAAGTGTCAGTTTCTAATTCAAATTTGAGAGTGACTCCTAAAAATATTATTATTCTAGTAAATACACAAGAACAAAATATCATGAACTGAGCAGTTTGATAATAGATTATTTTGAAAATAAATCTAAAAACTTTAGAAAAAAAATTATTTCTTAAATACTTACATATTTAATCGTGATGTAAGTTTGAAGCTGGCATCCATACATTAAACAATTTTTATGGTTAGAAATATTTCAGTGAAGTAGGTTTTGCTTAATGAGCTGATTGTGGTAAAAACAAACAAACAAAAAACATTGTTAACTCAAAATTTTGTAAAATAAACAAAATGCTAAAACAGATTTAGTACCTAAGAAAGGAAGCGTAATTAATATCGCAACGAAGCTTTAAAAACAGTAGGCACTGATTTGAACCTAGAAGGGGAATTACGCGTAGAAAGGCACACGTGTATCGATGCAAACAGTTTTTTTTTTTATTCAACAGATTTAGAGTTCTAGGCTTAGCGGCGTGCTAGAAAACCCAATATTACTTTTCTATTGGGACAAAAACAAAATGGCAACACGTTTTTAAGTTTAAAGTTTCGGTTTTAATAAACATCATAAGTAAAAATGTTTATCAAGGGTGTATTAAACTCTTTAAGTGTAGCCATG